ACCTTGCACCTGTCTGTCCAGGCACCCTCCTCCCTTTGCTCCCCACCTCAGAGCTTCCGTTTCCTTTCAGTTCCTTGAAAACACCGAACTTTTAATTATGTATCTATTTTTTTGGTGCTTGGGATTGCTCACTGTCTCCTACAGCTCAGTGAGCTCTATCGCTGAGCTACAGCCCCTGCCCTTGGTATTTCATTCTTTTGATCTCCATCTAAATATCCCCCTCTCAGGAATAACTTCCTGACCAGCCTTTCATCTTGTCCATTCCAGCCCCTTGTTTGTTTCAGTGTATGCCACAATTTTAAAAAATGTTTTTCCTGTTTTCAATTTTGTTCCTGATTTTTCAGCTAAGATGTCAGCTTCATAACAGGACCCTGTCTGATCTCCTGGTCATTGTTTGTCGCAGTGTCCATTGTACTGCCTGGCACACAGAGAGTGGGTAAAATGAGTAAGACTACAGTCACTTTAGATTTCTTTTTTTTAGTCAGTTTAGATTCTATAATCCTTTTTTTTTTTTGTAGGGGAGATTGATCTTGGGTCCTTGTACTTGCGCAGCAGGCGATGAAACTACTGAGCTAAATCCCCGGCCCAGATTCTATAATCTTATCAGGTAGTAGGCTAGAACTCTGTATTGCCCACAGAAATCTCAAAAAAATTCCCCCCAAACTATAAACTTTGGGGCTGGCGATGTAGCTCAGTGTTGCCGCACCTGCCTGGCAGGTGTAAGGTTGTGAGTTTGAGTCCTGGTACCAAAAGAAAAAAAAACCCAAACCAAAAAATCCGATAAACTCTGTGGTTAAATAATGTCTGTATAAGGACTATATTATTTTATACCACTTTTTAAAAACACTCATTTTCCGTCCTGAATTGCTTAGCACCTCTGATGGAAATCAGTTGATCATTCTGACTTCTCTTCTGCTCCATTGCCCTGTATATCTAGTCGTATGGTAAACATTGAAAACAAGAGAAAAAAGCAAACCCTAAACTGAAAGCAACCTGAAAAAAACAAAGCTAACCACACAAATTGGTAACATAACTATGCAGGAAAGCGAATGTTTGTTTTTTTGTTTTTGGTGCTGGGGATTTAGCCCAAGGACATTACAGAGCTCTGTCCTTCTAATTTTTATTTTTCATACTTAAAAAAAAAAGCTTTTTACTTACATTTAAAAAAAATTTTTATTGAGGTAAAATTTTATTTTTTTTTAATTGAGGTAAAATTTAAACTTTAGATACAGTGAACTGCACAGGTCCTTAAAAGTACAAGTAGGGGGCCGAGGATTTAGCTCAAGTGGTTCCACCGCCTGCCTCGCAAGCGGAAGGTCCTGAGTTCAATCCCTGGTACCAAAAAAAGAGAAAAAAAAAAAAACTTACGTAGGTCTTTCCCTAAAAGTACAGGTAGGGTTGGGGATTTAGCTCAGTGGTTCCGGCACCTGCCTCGAAAGCACAAGGTCCCGAGTTCGATCTCTGCCACCAAACAAACACACAAATATAAACTTCCATTTTGCAGGGCCAGTTACAAGGTTTGTTTGATTTGTTTTATTCTGTGCAATTGAGGATTGAACTCAGGACCTTAGTATTGAGCTACATTGCCAGCCTTTTTTATTCTGAGACAAGATCTTGCTAAATCACTGTTTGCTAGGCTGGACTCAAACTTGCAATCCTCCTACCTAAGCTTTCCAGAGTGCTGGGATTACACACATGCAGCCCTACACCCAGGTGAGTTAGATGAGGTTTTTTGTTTGTTTGTTTGTTTGTTTTTGGTACCTTGTGCTTGTACAGCGGGCATTGAAACCACTGAGCTAAATCCCCCGCCCAGATGAGTTTTGATGAATGTATAGACCGTTACAGTCTACTTCTATCACCCAGAAAGTTCCTGCCCTTTTTCTGTCAGTCTTTCACCTCTTCCTTTCAGGCAACACTGCTGATTTCTATCACCATGGATTAATTTTGCCTGTAAGTGATATTCATATTAATGGAGTCGTATTGCATATGTTTTTGTCTGGCTTTGTTCACTCAACACAATGTTTTTGAATTAATCTATAAGGTCCTATTTATCAGTTATGTTTTACTGCTGAGTAATTTCCACTGTATGATTATGCCTCAAAAAGCCAGTGTCATTAAGTCAGGCTCAGTGGGCATGACTATAATCCCAGCACTGAGAGAGGCCAAGGAAGGAAGGTTACAAGTTCCAGTCTAGCACGCACAACTAGAGAGACTGTATCAAAAAACAAAACAAAAAAAAGCCGGGAGTGATGGTGCATGTCCATAATCCCAGCAACACTTGAGGGAGGCTGCAGCAAGAGAGTCACAAGTTCAATTCCAGCCCGGGCAATTTAGTGAAACTGTCAAATAAAAAAATACAGGGGCTGGGGATTTAGCTCAGTGGTTCTGCCGCCTGCTTCGCAAGCACAAGGACCAGAGTTCTATCCCTGGTACCCCCCCCCCCCCAAAAAGAATGGCTAGGCATGCAGCTCACTGTGAAGGCCCTGGGTTCAATCCCTAGTAACAGAAAAAATAAAAAAGGGTGGGGATTCAGCTAAGTGGTAGAGCACCCCAGGGTTCAATCACTAGTACTGGGGGAAAAATAGCCAATGTTGCACTGTAAGAATTTAGATTAGATACTGCTTTTAAAAAGCCAAAAGACAGCATGTGGTCTTTAGATCTAGCCTGACCTTTGGTCACCTTCATCCTACTCAAACCTCATTATGGGTTCATAAATACAGTAGGCATTACATGTCATACATTAATTAAGATCAGAGTGAATTCTGGGACAAATGTGTCAAAGCCCCTGAGATAACACAGCATCCTGTTGGTCATACCTGGAGACCTGGGAGGTACTGGGCTGAGCTGCATAGCCTTGAATCCCAAAAGCCTGATTTCTTGGGGGCTGTTGCTGCTGCTGTGTGCTTCGATCTGCGTGCTGTGGTTTTGCTATACCACTTTCTGTTGGTGCCATATCTTTTGTTGGCGTGGACTTGCCCTGGGCACCACTTCCATGATTATCAACAAATGTAGCTGCTTTTCACTTGCCATTTGGATTGAACACTTGGATTACACCTGCCCATCGCCATTGGACAATTGGGGAAACTTAGTGTGGTTTGGTTATTAGGTATTATTAGGGAATTATTGTTAATTATTAGCTTGTTACAACTTTCCTTGATGTAGGAGACCAGATAATGAGGTTCGAGGCCTAATTGACCTTCTCTTCCAGCACAAGAAAAAAAGCAGCAAGCTGTGCCTCCTTTGGCAACAGGCAGGCATGCTAGCACATGGCAAGTTCCAGAGAAGAGGCAATACACCTGAGATCTGGATGTTTACCTGGGTACATGTCATAGATAACAAGAGACAGATGAATCTTCCATTAATCAAATTGCTTGTTCCCATGTCTAAGTGAATAAAAGTGAGGCGAGCCAAATGCTCAGGGCTCTTTGTCCACTAAGGGCACAGAGCCCCCTGGCCTGGAGTCAGGGATACACTTATTTGTAGGCTGGTTCCTACACCTTGGCAAATCTATCACCTAGCTTCCTGCTGCCCCCCCCCCCTTCCTGGCCAGTGTCTAGGGATTCCCTGTTAATAGCACCACATCGTTCAGGTGTTTAATTTTTTGAGGGGTGGGGGAGCAGAGCTTAGGATAGAACCCTTACCCTGGGCATACTAGGTAAGCACTCTACCACTGAACTATATCCACAACTCTAACACTTCTTTTTATTGTTTGTTTTTTGTTTTGTTTGTTTTTGGGTACAGGGATCGAACTCTGGTCTTTTCGCTTGCGAGGCAGGTGGTGGAACCACTGAGCTAAATCCCGGGCCCCTAACACTTCTTTTTAAGTAGCTTTAAAATGTATCTCACAGACTACACAATTCACTTAAAACCACAATTAAATGGTTTTCATTGTACTCATCACTGTGAATTTTTGTTATTTTGTGACAGAGTCTGGCTATGTAGTTCAGGCTGGCCTTGAACTCACGATGTTGCACCAGGTGACCTCAAACTGCTGGTGACTCTCCTGCCTCAGCCTCCCCCAGTGGTGGGATTACAGGTGTGCAACACCAGACCCTGTTGATCAAAATTTTCATGGCCCACAAATAATCATGGTGTATCCACTGGTAGTCACTCTCCATCAGGATTTTATCGTTTCTGATCTGGTTGATTACAGCCTTCTAACTTCTAATCTTCAATTCTGTCTTTATTACAACTAATCTCAACATCACCGGAATGTGATCTCTCTAAGGCATAACCTTTCACTTTGACTGCTGTAGTTTCTCTAAAGGATGCTCGGATTCAAGGAAACAAACACGTCCTGAGGCACATTACACTCCAGGCACTGTGCTAGGTGCTGTGAGCAAAAATGGATTAGTTTTTTTCTTTTGTTTTTACTACCGTAAGATTTCTTTTATCCCCATGGGGTTCCTCTTCAGGCAGTTCCCTCCGGCTCGAATGACGCCCCTATCCCACCCCTTTCTTGTTTCACCACGTTGTGGCCAGCTTCCCTGACTAGGGACGGAGCTCTCCAGACTTTTTTTTTTTTTTTTTAAGAGAGGGTCTTACTATGTAGTTCAGGCTGGCCTTGAGCTACGTACTCCTCAAACTAGCGGCGATCCTCCGCCTTCCAAGTGCTGCGATTACAGGCGTACGCCACCATACCGGCTCTTGCAACTTTCTTGACACCTACTTAACCCGCTCGCTTGCATACACTTGAAAAGCAATACATAGCTGCAGAAGTAAATATATTCTGCGGAATGCAGCATTGCTTCTTCCCGCTGAATCGACAGCCTCTCACCCCAGATAAGGACCCGCCACTTTTCGCTCTGCACATGACCGGAAATACGTAATTTAGAGAAAGGGAACTTCCACACCCTTAAGAATCAGATTTGAGCGACTCCAGAGAAGAAGGGATGAAAGGGGGGGAGGATTGGGGGGGGTCAGCTCTCCAGGTCATATCTACGCGAGACCTCCAAAAACTCGGTGATCTGTGCTTCCGGTCCGGCTTACAGCCGCCCCCTTCCGGCATCCCGGTCCCGCCCCGTCGTCGGCGGTGACGGGAGCACGCCGAGGGTGACTTCACCCTCCAACATGGCGGCGGCGGTAGATTAGAGCCGCGGGTGGAAGTAGTCATCGCCGTTGGGGGACCCTGTCGGAAGCAACTGCCGCCGCCGACGCCTCTTTCATCTCTTCTGGGGCAGGGGCCAGGGCCAGGTGAGGGGAGTGGGGCTCCGGGCTGACTGAGCTGAGTGAGAAGGCATTTTTTCACCTGGGGAAGGTGCTCAGGGACTACCGGGCCACCGACTCCCCAGTGGTGCCGACGACACGCGAGTGAGTGGGTGAACGTGTATATGTCGGTGTCCAGTGGCGCCCCCGCGCCCGAGGGTTTATGAAGCTTACGGGGTCCATTTCTTCATAGCCGAACCTGTCCGCCGAGGTCGGGTTGCGGACGCTTCTCCCGGTGTAGGCTGCCTGTGGCGGAGGAACTCGGCCTTTGCTCTACATTGCTCTTCTACCACAAATAGCGTCACATGGAAAACCTAGGTCCATTTTTAGGGCTAGGCGGGGGAACGTTGACTTGTGTTTGGTTGAGGAAAAGGTTTGCCTGATGTGCGCTTAGAACGACTGACTGTACATTAGTTTTCCCCGGCGCTCGTTGTTCCCTTTCAAATTGTTAGAAGTCTTAAGTTTTCTAACCTTAATCCACTGCTGCTCTGATACCCAGTTTTTCAGAAAGTCATTTTTACTCTTGGAGAAGCAATATACAGTTCAGCCTGTCATTTTTTCCTTTATCCTCCCAGCATTCTAAGGAGGTCTCAAGTTTCTTGCCTTCATATCCGATCTAGCTTTTTGAGTTGATGGCTGCTGGCTGATAGCTTTGTTCAGCCTTAATCGCTCCACACACAAATATTCATCCGAAATAGCTTTCTCACTGCTTCTGTTTAGAAGTTTTTACCTAAGCTGACAGTCTCCTCTCCTCTTTTTTGCTTTCTGACATACAGCGAAATCGTTTTGCGAAATGTGTCAGTAAGCGTTCCCCCGGAGGTTTGTTGTAACCAGAATGTAGCTCTCTGCCCAGACTTGTGTGACCTTGGATGAGTTGCCACACCCTTCAGATACTTTTTCCTCCCCCCTCCCTTTTTTTTTTTTTAACACTTTAGAAAATTGTTTGTGTAGGTAACGAACTGCTTATACTTCATATACACAATTGGGTAATAAATCCGGCACATATGTACCTGTAAATTGAAAATATTCAAACCATTAGGAAATACTCTTTATTTGGAAATAGACGGTTAAGGATTTTGAACATTCTTTTACTTTGAACGATCAGGTACTATTCTAAGTACTTTTTCAAATAGTTCATATGCTTGTGTGGAGGAGTGTACTCTGGTAGTTGAGTTGAAGTCAACTGAAGGATGTATAAGTTGAACTCACTATGTAGCCCAGGCTGGCCTCGAACTCGAAGTCCTCCTGCTAAAGCCTCGAAGTGCTGGGATTGCAAGCCTGCACCACCACTCCAGGGTTTATAAGTTTGAGTGCAACAGTTTTGTAAAAGAGAAACTCACTGACAGATCATTTAATCAATATTTATAAAAAATATATAGATTGGCGACTTGCCAAAAGAACAATCATTTTCAAAATAGCTTTTATATAGCCGGGCTTGGTGGTGCAGGCCTGTAATCCCAGCACTGAGGAGGCTTAGCCTGGAGCATCCTTTTAAGTTCCAGGCCAGCCTGGGGTACATAGTGTTCAAGGCCACCTTGAATTGCATAGTGAGACCCTGTCTCAAAAACCAAAACCAAACGAAACAAAAATATATGTAAACTGGGCGTGGTGGCACATACCTGTAATCCCAGCACTCAGGAGGCAGAGGGGAGGCTTGCCCTGAGTTCGAGGCCAGCCAGGACTGCATAGCAAGACCCTATCTAAACAAACAATATATATATGTATATATGTTTTTCTGATGAAATATTTTAGACAAGTTTTTGTTTGTTAATTGGTGGATCTGGAGATCAAACCCAAGGCCTGGTTTATGGTAGGCATGTGCTCTACCACAGCTACATTCTCAGCCCTAGACTTTGAGAGTAACAGTACATTTCTATTCTGCTTTTGTAGTTTTTCAGACTTGACTTTTTTTTTGGTATCGGGGATCAAACTCAGGACCTTGTGCTTGTAAGGCAGGTGGTAGCACCACTGAGCTAAATCCCGGCCCTTCAGACGTTTTGATTCATATCTTATCCCAAATAAATGAACCAAGAATTCTTAATATATATGAGTTGGGGGAGGAGAGCTGTTTGTAGACAAGCTGGGTTTAGAAGGTCTGTATAAGTATCCTGTGCTGGGGATAAGACTATTGCCTTGTTCTACAGAGCCCCCACTGAAGGACATTCCTAGCACCGTCTGTTGTTTTTGTTCTGTTTTTTGACATGCTGGGAATAGAACCCAGGGTCCCACTTTCTGAGCTTTACCACCAAGCTTTTACCACCAGCACAAGTGTTGCTGATTTTCTTTAAACACCTTTATTGACACAATTAACATAACATACAGTTCAGTTATATAATTTAATGGTTTTCAGTATGTGTACCGAGTTAGGCAGCCATCACCACACTTTTCATCACCCTAGAAAGAAACCCTAACCCCCACCATGGTTCTGGGATTGAACCCAGGGCCTTCGACTGAGCTACATCTCCAGCCTTTTTTCTTTTCTTTTTTGAAGCAAGGTTTCACTGTGTAGTTCAGGCTGGTCTTGAACTCCCTATGTAGCCCAGGGTGGCCTCAAACTCACTTCGATCCTCCTGCCTCAGTCTCCCAAGTGCTGGGATTACAGGCATGTGCCACCACTCCTGGATTTATTTTTATTTTTTTGTAGTGATGTGGTATTTTCAAGCTTTTTTTGGAGAATATTTACAAAAAGTGAGGTAACAAAAAACATAAAAATGTACCAAACAGTGTCATCATAGACTACTTAGTACATTATCAAATGTTTCTAGCAAACAATTCAAACAGTTTGATTTCAACCTCTAAATTTAAAAAAAATTTAAAATTTATTTATATTTTACTTTTTTGGTTTTTTTTTTTTTTTTCTTGAGACAGGGTCTCTGTGTAGTTCAGGCTGGTCTTCAGCTCACTGTGTAGCCCGGGCTCAAACTGGGTGATTGTCCTGCCTCAGTCTGAATGCTGGGATTCTAGGCGTACGGCACCACACCCAGCTTCACTTTTTGACTATTATGTATAAGGCTGCTTTGAACATTGTGTGCATGTTTTGTGTAGAGATGTGTTTTCATTTCTCTGTGGTATATACCTGGAAGTGGAATAGTGTGTGTAATGAATTTTATGTCTCCCTTTATAAAGCCAATTACACAGACCTAGGAAGCCTGAATAACTTACTGTGAAAGTGAGATTGTATGGGAGGGGGATAAGGAACCCTGTTAACACATTATCTGTGAGCACCAGCTGCTGAGTGGAGGTGTTTTGAGTAGCTCTTAGACAGGGCTGAACCAGAGTATCTCAGTGTGGCCTGTTTTATTTGGAGAGGGACTTTCAGTGCCCCACACTAGAATAGTAATGTCTGCTGAGTTTAATTAATTAATGTATTTATTTTGAGACAGGGTCTCGTTTTGTAGTTCAGGCTAGCCCTGAACTTACTGTATAGTCCAGGGTGGCCTCAAACTTGTGGTGATCCTCCTGCCTCAGCCCCCCTCGTGCGCCACCACACTTGGCTGCTGACTTTTAAAAATAATACCTTGCTTAGTTGCATTTTAGCTGAGTGGAGTGAATTTTTGCAATTTTGCTCATTTTTTCTTTTTTTTGGTGGTATTGGAGATTATACCCTGGGGGACTCTTGTCTGAGCTACATCTTCAGATGTATATCATGTATCTGTATCATATAGATATATATATACACACCATATATGTATAGATAGGTAGATAGAGATATATAGTTTTTCTTTTTTTCTTCTTTAAATGAGACAGCATCTTTTTTTTTTTTTTTTTTTGGTACCGGGGATTGAACTTGGGACCTTGTACTTGCGTGGCAGGCGCCAGAACCACTGAGCTAAATCCCTGGCCTGAGACAGAATCTTATATATAGTGCAGGCTGGCCTCAAAGTCTCAATCTTCCTGCCTTATCGTTCCACGTGCTGGGATTACAGGTGTGTACTATCAGGCCCTCCCCTCCCCCCCATGTATTTTTCTTTTTCTTGCTGTGCTTCTAGGGATTGAACCCAGGGCCTTTGGACCGAACTACATCCTCAACCCTTTTAAAATTTGTTGTTGTTATTATTATTATTTTGGGTGGAGGTTTGAGGCAGGGTCTTCCTTTGTAGTTCAGGCTGGCTCTAAAGTCACTATGTAGCCTAGGCTGGCCTTGAACTCTCAGCAATCATCCTGCCTTAGCTTCCTGAGTGCTGGGATTACAGGTCTGGACCACCATGCCCAGCTCCTTTTAAATTTGGTATTTTGGGGACAAGGTCTCACTGTATTGGCAAGTTGCCCAGGCTGGGGTTGAATTTGTGATCTTTCTGTTTCAGCCTGCCATGTAGCTAGGATTACAAAGGACTTGCCAGGGCCAGGGATTTAGCTCAGTGGTTCCGCTGCCTGCCTTGCAAGGGCAAGGACCTGAGTTCAATCTCCGGTATGAAAAAAAAAACAACCAAAAACCTGTGGTGATACAAAGGACTTGCCTAACATGTTACAAGGCCCTGTGTTTAACTATCAGTGAATAAAACCAGAGAGCTCATAGCCAAGAAGCTTTGTTAATGTTTTTAAAATTATGAAGTTTTGTTTTGAGACTGAGTTATTTTTCTCTTCAAAAGTTGGAATTGTAGATGTTCAACTCTCTTTCTACAGTATTTAAATTCTGATTATGTTATGGTTTTATTTTAGTAGAAGGAAATGATCTAAAAAACAAAGAGCCAGGTTGGTGATACATGCCTGTAATCCCAAAACTCTGGGAGGCTGAGACAGGAGGATCACAAATTTGAACCTAACCTGGGTGATTTAGGGACTTAGAGAGACCCTGTCTCAAAATAAAAAAGAAAAAAAAGGACTGTGGATGTAGCTTAGTGTGAAGGCCCTGGGTTCAATCCCCTATACCTCAAATGAATAACAAAGATTCCTGAAGTTATTTAATAAGGAATTAAACTATGTTAAATTCTAAGAAGTTGTTACAGTTCTAGTAGGTTAAAGAATATAATTTAGGTATAATATTCTAA